CTGCAGATTGGGGACCGGGTCTGGCTCACTGGTTGCCGGGAAAGGTGCATCTGTGACTCCTCTTCCACTTTCCGGTGTGTCCCAGCCAGCTGCAGCCCCGGCCAGCGATGTGCTGTGAAGGATGGGAAGCTGGGCTGTCAGAGCCAGCTGACAACCTGCACTGTGACAGGGGACCCTCACTACTTCACTTTCGATGGGGCTGTGGCACATTTCCAGGGCACGTGCGCCTACGAGATCTCCCACACCTGCAACTCCTCCCTCGACTTCTCCTTCCGCGTGGTGGCTGAGAACAGGCACCGCAGCAATCGCCAGGTCTCCTTCGTGTCCCGGGTGGATGTCTGGCTGAGAAGAAGGGATCTCAATGTTCACATTGTCCTAGGGGACAGCAAGGCCGCCGAGGTGAGCCTGGAGCCTGGATCACTGGGATGGGTTCCCTAGGGAGGGGGTGGAATGTCCATCCCAAGAGGTTTTTAAGTCCTGGCTTGACAAAGCCCTGGCTGGGGTGATTTAGTTGGGGTCGGTCCTGCCTAGAGCAGGGGGCTGGACTTGATGCCTCCTGAGGTCTCTTCCAGCCCTAGGACTCTGACTCCATGACCCCAGCACAGCACCTGCCATTTGCGAGCTGAAACAGTCCTTGGGGTTCTCCTCTTCTCTGGATGAGGCCCCTGTGTCTCATGGTGTCACTGACCTGCCCTTGCTGGGCCTCAGTCCAGAGCCGGCTCTAAGTTTTTTGCTGCCCCAAGCAAAACATTTTTTGGCCGCCCCCGCTCCTTCCTTGGCCCACTGCTGCAGGACAGGCACTGAGGAGGAAAGCGCCCCTTTCACCTTGTGGCTCTTTGACTCCCTCCGGCCAAACCCAGCCTACGTCCTGTCTCCCCTCCATACACATCCCTGTCCACGCACATCCCGACCCCCCCTCCCCCCACTCACAGAACCCAGTTTATTCAAAGTAGGAATAAGAGATCCTCCGGAAAAGGGCTTTATTCCGGAGGATCGCGCCAGTCTAGACGCTTTTTTCCGGCTTTTCCCCAAGCCGGAAAAAAAGCGGCGGCCATGTTTATTTAAATCCCGCAGGGGATATTTAAATCCCCCGCGGATTTCCCTATTCTGAAGTTGGAAATTAACATGCCTCTTCTGGAGAAGGGGCCAATGTAGACGTAGCCCTAGTGTGTGGCTCTAAGAGTCCTTGGGCATGCGCATGGCATGACACTGGGCTGCTCCTTGAATTCATTCCCAGTGCCCTCTGTGGTTTCCTGGGCAGCGCAGGGCTGGGCTGGTGCTGAGAAGGCCTGGGAGCACTAGCGGCACTGAAGTGACACTAGTTGGCATCCAGACTCTGGGGGGGCTGTGTCAGCAGCTGGTGAACTGTGTTTGCTCCGGTTTTGACCTCTGCCCCCTCAGGCTGGATGAGGTGAGGCAGGAGTTCTGCCAGCTGGGCATGCAGGCTCTGTATGTGAGTAGGCTCCAGACAGGGGCTGTTGGGCTGTAGTTCTGAGGGATCCAGGCCTGTGAGGGGCTCTTAGACTCTCCCACAAGACAAATAAAGACTGAGGATGGAAATGGGCTTTTCTAGAACTCTGCCTCCCAGCCCCTTGGCCTGAATCTCCACCCAGGGGGTGCGATGCAGACTGCAGAGGTTTTGGGTGCTTCCAGGGAACTGTGCTGGGTGGGTGGGTCCCAGGAGCCACTCACTGCACTGAGTACTCTGCTCTTTCAGGTTAACGGGGAGAGAGTGAGCCTGCCGCACGCCCTGGGTCCTCTGGGCAGCGTGTCCCGGCTCAGAAACCTGGTGACCATACAGACCCCAGCCAATGTGGAGATCCAGTTCAACGGCCGCCACACTTTGTTAGTCCGTGTGGGCCCAGAGTATCAGGAGCAGCTGTGCGGGATGTGCGGGAACTTCAATGGCATCCGCTGGGATGATAAAGCCTTGCCCAGCGGGGAGAGAGCCCAGAGTGATGCTGAGTTTGGGAACGCATGGAAGTCTGAGCGCAGCCTGGCCAGGTCAGTGGGATCCTCACAGACCAGTAGGGGCCTTGAGGGTGTTGATAGTTGCTGTTTACCAGAGAATTAACTGAGGCTTTTGTGTTGGAACAGATCACCGTAGGGCTGAGCGCTCCCATACAGCGCTCCAGAAACAGGCAATGATAGGACAGCCACTTGGTGGCTCCTGTGGGAGATGAACTTGGGTCTCACCAGGCCTGTTCTTAGTGGGATGAGCAGATGAATGGAGGGAAGGGCGAGCTGGGTGAACAGGTGAATGGAGTGAGGGGAGGGGGGGTGAGCTGGGTGAACAGGTGAATGGAGTTTGGGGGAGTAAGCTGAGTGAACAGATGAATGGAGTGGAGGGGAGAGGGCGAGCAGGGTGAACAGGTGAATGGAATGAGAGAGAGGGGCAAGCTGGGTGAACAGGTGAATGGAGCAAGTGAGTGTAGAAAGAGAAGATGACAAACTGTTTCATAGCCAAAGAGATTAATCTGAGGCACAATTATTGCTAATTGAAACCTTTTCCTTAAAAAACAACAAATAGCCTAGCAGCACATTAAAGACTAATAAAACATGTAGATGGTATCATCATCTTTTGTGGGTACAATCCACTTCTTCAGATGAGTGGAGTATTAAAAATCCAGTTCCAAAATAAATACAGGATGAGGGGAAGAAGAAAGGGGGAAAAATAATGCAAATTGTTCTTAAGAACCCATTGTTTGGTGTGTTAAGTCATGAGGATGAGGAAGGTAGTGTACTAGCCAGGTAATGTCTTTTTTCATACCTTTGTGATGGGTCCCAACTTGTAAATTAAGTTAAATTCCAATGCTTTCCTGTGTATTTGTCTTGTGGAATTGGCCTGAAACAACACGGTGTGTTTGTGCATTTCAAAGCAGAAGCGCCCTCATGGAGCCTGGAGTCAGTGCAGGACTCAGAGTGCCCTGCTGACCCCAGGCTCTATGCTGCACTGCCGCTTTGAAATGCCAGGCGGAGCCCGGAGTCAGCTGACTCCGGGATCCATGTGGCATTCCCCGGAACTTGGGATCATGCTTTGAAATATCGTGCTGAAGCCCGGGATCAGCTGTACGGCACTTCCCCTTTGAAATGCCACCATGGTGTTTCAAAGTGGCACACAACCTGGGTATGGGCTCCATGTGACACTGCTGCTTTAAAGTAACCTCTCTCCCCCCTCCTTTGTTGCCTCTATCTGATAGAGGCAGCAAGGGGGCGGATCGACTAGTCGACCCGACCAACCAATAAGCATTTTGTATCAGATAGTCGACTAGTCCTAAACATCTTGGCTGTGTCTAGACTGGCCAGTTTTTCCGGAAAATCAGCCGCTTTTCCAGAAAAACTTGTCAGCTGTCTACACTGGCCGCTTGAATTTCCACAAAAGCACTGACTTCCTACTGTGTGAAATCAGTGCTTCTTGCGGAAATACTATTCTGCTCCCGTTCAGGCAAAAGTCCCTTTTGTGCAAAGCTTTTGCGAAAAAGGGCCAGTGTAGACAGCTCAGATTTGTTTTCTGCAAAAAAGCCCTGATTGTGAAAGTGGCGATGGGGGCTTTTTTGCGGAAAAGCGCGTCTAGATTGGCCACGGACGCTTTTCTGCAAAAAGTGCTTTTGTGGAAAAGCATCCATGCCAATCTAGACGCTCTGTTCCGAAAATGCTTTTAACGGAAAACTTTTCCGTTAAAAGCATTTCCGGAAAATCATGCCAGTGTAGACACAGCCCTTTAGTCCAGACAAAGGGTGACATAGTTACTGAAAGACACAACTTAGTCTGCCATGCAGACATTGTCTAATCGCGAGAAACAGGGTGAAACAGAATCCTACAGAGCTTAGAAGCAAGTCATTATACATCAGGTCATTATGAACCATATTTGTATTTTTAACAAATACTAAAATATACATTTGGGCTCTGGTGGGGATCAGACACTCCCTAGATGCCACTGGAGAGAGCTATCTCCTCTGCCCTGCTGTGGGGTCACTCACTTCCCTTTGTTCCAGGTGTTTGGATGACTCTGGCTCCCCCAGGCCCTGCCACGACCCCCTGGAATTTGAAGTGCTCTGTGGGACCCTGACAAGCCAATCTGGACCATTTGCTGAGTGCCACTGGCATGTCGACCCTGCCCCGTTTTACTCCTCCTGCCTGTACGACATGTGCCACTATGGGACGGCCAATGGGATGCTGTGCATGGCCATTGCCTCCTACGAAGAGCTCTGCAGCCTTCAGGGGATCCGCGTGGGCACATGGCAACCAGCTGCTCAGTGCCGTGAGCACCAGTCTTGCTAGCAGGCCCAGAGGGAGAGCGTGTGGGGGGACTGTGGGAGTGGGAAACATTGGCACTATTGAGACTGAGCTGTAAGGCCAATGCCCTGATCCCCCAAAGTCATTCAGACCTTGTAGGGCACCAGTCAACCCCCCATTTGGGAATTTACTTTCTTCTGCCTTTCTTCTCAAACGAGGATCCTTCTGCCCTTCCTGGCACAGCACAGTGCAGTGTTGCTGCAGCTGGCAGGCACTTTACCATGTCAGCACCCCTGGGCTGTATTTCTGTGTGGCTGCTAAAACAGCCACTGAGGCCCACCCCTGAAGTGACTGCATCTCAGCCCAGGCGGAGCAGCCCTGTGCAGCACTGCTCTGGCTGCTAGCCTGCTGTGGTGGCCCCCACCCCCAGTCCTGCCAATGTGGTTCAGTGTGAGCAGCATGAAAAGCGAATGCTTGTAATCTGCAGCCTCATTGTGGCAACTTCAGCTGGGAAGGGATGAGAGACACACGGCTCCCCTTAGAAATACAGGGGGTTGGGTAGATCTGGGCATGGCTGCATGTTCTAAACTCCTTGCTGCTTCTAATCTCTGGTTCCTTCTGCAGCTGGGAGTGACCCATGTGTTGGTTTGGCCTGCGGGGAGAATGAGTGGTGCGGAGAGCAGGCGGGAAGATGGGGCTGTTACTGCTACAGGCCACCTGAGCCCATCCAAGCAGCTGACTATGGTAAAGAACAATTTCTGATCCCCTCCTCTCCATCCCCACTTGCTGGGACACTCATGGTGTAGAATTCCATGGTGGTTTTCCCGGGCAATGGCCCCAGCCAGTCTGGTCTGGCTCTGTGCATCTCGCAGTGGGAGGGGAAAGCGTTGGCAGCAAAGGTGACCCAGGCTCAAATTCTGGCTCAGATGCCACACATGTCTGTCCTGAGTCTGTGTCTTCCAAGCTGGGTAAACGGCTGGGCTCCTCGGGGGACTCCTACAATCCCAGGGCTGGAAGAGACCTCAGGAGGCATTGAGTCCAGCCCCCTGCCCAAGAAGGACCAGCCCCAACTAAATCATCCCAGCCTGGGCTTGGTCAAGTCAGGACTTAAAAACCTCTAGGGATGGAGATTCCACCCCCTCCCTAGGGAACCCATCCCAGCGCTTCCCCACCCTCCTAGGGAAATAGTTTTTCCTAATATCCAATCTAGATCTCCCCACTGCAACTTGAAACCATTGCTCCTTGTTCTCTCATCTGTCATAAGAATGGCCATACTGGGTCAGACCAAAGGCCCATTCAGCCCAATGTCCTGTCTTCTGACAGTGGCCAATGCCAGATACCCCAGAGGGAGTGAACAGAACAGGTAATCACCAAGTGATCCCTCTCTTGTCATCCATTTCCAGCCTCTGACAAACTCAGGCTAAGGACACCTTTCCCGCCCATCCTGGCTAATAGCCATTGATGGACCTGACCTCCATGAATCTATCTAGTTCTTTTTTGAACCCTGGTCTTCACAACATCCTCTGGCCAGGAGTTCCACAGGTTGATTATGAGCTGAGTGAAGAAAAGCTTCCTTTTGTTTGTTTTAAACCTGCTGCCTGTTCATTTCATTTGGTGACCCCTAGTTCTTATGTCATGGGAACAAGTAAATAACTTTTCCTTATTCATGTTCTTCATACCTGTCGTGATTTTCTGGATCTCTATCATATCCCCCTTTAGTCTCTTCTTTTCTAAGATGAAAAGTCCCAATCTTTTTAATCTCTCTTCATATGGGACCAGTTCCAAGACCCTAATTATTTTTGTTATCCTTTTCTGAACCTTTTCCAATGCCAATATATCTTTTTTGAGATGAGACCACCACATCTGTACGCAGTATTCAAGATGTGGGCACCCCTTAGTTTTATATGGAGGCAATAAGTTATTCTCTGTCTTATTCTCTGTCCCTTCTTAATTATTCTTAATAATCTGTTTGCTTTTTTTGACTACCGCTGCACACTGAGTGGATATTTTCAGAGAACTATCCACAAAGACTTCAAGATCATTCTCTTGAGTAGTTGTAGCTAAATTAGTTCCCATCATATTGTATCTATAATTCGATAATCTGAACATATACAAACTAATCCACTCAGAAGACTATTAGCTTTGGTTATTAAGAGTATTACCTAATAAACTTGCTATACCACTGGAAACTCTTGAAAAACATATGGTAACTTAACCATTGTTTCTCAATCTTTTTTTATACAGTACCCCTTTTTAAAAAAAATTATAAGTACCCCCAGTACTACAGTTTTCAGACACACAAACTTTTTTCTCCCATTGCAACACATTTGTTTAAACAACTTAATCATAGCCAGGTGGGCAATTAAATTTTTGGGTGTAAAAGGTACAAAAATAATAAAGTGCTGTAAAACTTAAAACAAATTCAGTTTTCTCCAAATTTCAGATGTGTTGATGTGCCCTCCAGACTTCTCTCAAGTACCCCTAAGGATACTCGTACCACTGGTTGAGAAACACTGGTCTTAACTATCTTGAGCAGTTTGGTATCATCTGCAAATTTTGCCACCTCACTGTTTACCCCTTTTTCCAGATCATTTAAAATTAAGTTGAATAGGACTGGTCCCAATATGGACCTTTGGAGGACATCACTAGTTACCTCTCTCCATTCTGAAAACTTACCATTTATTCTTACCCTTTGTTTCCTGTCTTTTAACCAGCTATCAATCCATGAGAGGATTTTCCCTTTTATCCCATGACAACTTACTTTACTTAAGAGCCTTTGGTAAGGGACTTTGTCAAAGGCTTTATGGAAATCTAAGTACACTTTAGCCACTGGATCCCTCCTTGCACATGTTTGTTGATCCCCTCAAAGAACTCTAGTAGATTAGTACGGCATAATTTCCCTTTATAGAAACCATGTTGACTTTTCTCCGGCAAATTATGTTAATCTGTTTGTCTGCCAATTTTATTCTTTACTCTATTTTCAGCTACTTTTCCTGGTACTGACATTAGACTTGCTGCTCTGTAATTGCCAGGATCACCTCCAGAACCCTTTTTAAATATTGGCATCACATTAGCTATCTTCCAGTCATTATGTACAGAAGCTGATTTAAAAGATAGGTTACAAATCACAGTCAATAGTTCTGCAAATTCGTGAAATGAGGAGTAACAGTAGTTCGGACTAGGAAGCCTATTCCGAACTACCTAGTCCATGCCGCGTGTAGCCGCGCAGCACGGAGTCCGCACTAGCGGACATTTAAAAATGGCGGCGCCCGGCTTTATGCAAATGAAGCCCGGGAAATTCAAATCCCGGGCTTCATTTGCAACTCCGGTTGCCTACATTACCACCCTAGTTCGAACTAGGGTGGTAGTGTAGACATACCCCTAGGCATGGCTAGTGCTGCCAGGGAACAACTGGACAGCTTTGAGGGGGCTGTCCCCGGCTGCCTGCTGCTTGTTCTTCCACATGGGGAGGAGACCCATCCCCTAACCCCCAGTGGCGGAGGAGTGGGCCCGTGCACTGTGATCGTACCAGCATTTCTGCTTCCCTTGGGCTCTGCCCAGGGTCTCTCTGGCCAGGCCCATGAGCTCAATGAACCTTTCCCAGAAAGCCAGGACATGATCCACCCCTGACTGTCCATCCAGGGAGGCCTCCTACTCCCATAACTCTCTCGGCAAGCCCAAGGGTCCCCTCCCCCTTCTGCACCATGGCTCCAATGGGGAGAATCCAGTGGACCCTTGGTGCACCTCTCTATGTGCAAACAGCAGGTGGGGCAAAAACTTGTCCCAGGCCTGCGAGTGCTAGTGCATAAAGGTCTTGAGCATCTGCTTTAGTGTCCCATTGAACCTCCCCACCAGCCCGTTGAACTGGGGGTGATATGCTGAGGCCCAGGAGAGCCGGACCCTGGTGCTTTTCTCACAAGCCCCAGAGCAGGGTGGACATGAAGTTGAACCCCTGGTCCATGAGGACCTCCTTGAGGAACCCCACCCTGCTGAAAAAAATGGCCAGCAGCACATCTTCCACCACGTCTGCCTCGACAGCAGGCAGAGCCACGGCCTCAGCATGGTGAATAGCGAAATCCACCACCACCAGGATGTATTGCTTCCCCAGCCGGGTCGCCTTGCTGAGGGGCCCCACTAGATCCATCTCCACCTTCTGGAAAGGCTCCTTTATGATGGCCAGGGGCCTGAAGGCAGCTTTCTTCCTATCTCTGGCATTTCCCATCTGCTAGCAGGAGGCGCAGGACTGGCAGTACCGCTGCACAGCTGCAAAGATCCCCAGCCAGTAAAAATTCTGCAGCAGCCTCAGCTGGGTGCACCAGATCCCCTGGTGCCCCAAGAATAGGACGTCATGGGCCAGGTGCAGCAGCCTGTGGCGATAACTTTGGGGAAACACCAGCAACTGCTGGACCCCTCACGACTCCGCTTTCCCTGCAGGGAGCCATTCCCGGTACAGGAATTCCCTCTCCCACAGGAACCTCTCCCAGCAGCTTCCCCCAGGGGCTGAGCTGCGCGGAGGCCGGCCCGGCCCTTCAGCTTCTCCAAGGAGGGATCTGCCTGCACCTCGGCCTCAAATTTAGCAGCTGAGGAAGGTACAGGGACTGGTTCCCCCTCACTGGTTGTGTCCAGAGTCCCACATCTGTTAAGCCCACCCCCCTGGGTCACCCTGTGTGCTGGAATGGGACCCTGTGTCACCTGCAGGGTGCCCTCCCCATGGTCAGGACCATGAGCCTCTTGTCAGCTCTGATTATGAATAGCAAGCTGAGCAATGGATCCGCCCCACAGGCGCTTCCCCCAGTTGCACAGCCATGAACCGGTATCTCCAGGATTCCCTTACACACCTTAAGCCCACCCCCCTGGGTCACCCTGTGTGCTGGAATGGGACCCTGTGTCACCTGCAGGGTGCCCTCCCCATGGTCAGGACCATGAGCCTCTTGTCAGCTCTGATTATGAATAGCAAGCTGAGCAATGGATCCGCCCCACAGGCGCTTCCCCCAGTTGCACAGCCATGAACCGGTATCTCCAGGATTCCCTTACACACCCGGATGGGCTCTCTGTGAAGTCATCAGCCAGCTTCCCCCCGGACGGGCTCTCTGTGAAGTCATCAGCCAGCTTCCCTGTGGCATGTGGTCCTCCGGCTTCCTGTCCTTCAGCCACCGCCTCAGGTCAGGCGAGCACATTTCATAAAACCGTTCCAGGACCATCAGCGTAACCAGGTCCACTGCTGTCTGGGCCCGAGCCCCAAACACCCATTTGTGGAAGTATTGCCTCAGGCGGGAGGCCAGGTCTACGTAAATCTCCTCAGGGTCCTTCTGCGCACTCCAGAACTTTTTCCTGGATGCCTCAAGGGTCAGCCTGAACTTGTGCAGCAGGACTCGTTTGACCCATTTGTTATCCCCTAGCTGCAGCCCCTCCAGCTGGCCAAGCACCCCTGTGGCCTTCTGAGCCAGTAAGGGGATGAGCTGCTGGAGCCAGTCGGCTAGGGGGACCTGGTGCAGCTCTCAGGCTCACTCGGAACAGTTAAGGAATCCATCCAGGACCCCACGTCCTTACACTGGGACAACACGAACCTCTCAAAGTGACCAGCAGTCCCGGGCCCCCTGGGGCCCTCCCCACTCACCACAGTTGGGGCCCCTTGGCTTCTCAGCTCTACCATGATCTGCTCATGTGCCACTGTTCCCTACGGTCCTTGTGCTCCTTCTCTTGCGCCTTCAATTCCTTTAGCCATAGCTCGATCTCCAGCCGTCACAAATCTGCTGAGGGGGACCCCACCAGGGATGAACCACTGCTGGCCGAGCATGGCCTGGTGGACACTGTCTGTGTAGTGGTCTCCTGCCCTACCTCCTGTCTCAGAGCCGGAAGTGCTCCCGGGGGTGTCTGGCTGCTCCCGGCCAGAACAGGATCCAGCCTCCTGAAACAATCAGTCTCCTCCAGCTGAGCAATTAGCTGGGCCTTGGTCAACTTCCCCATAGGCAGGCCTCTCTCCTTGCATAGTTCCATGGTGCCTGCCTTCAGGAGTCGGGTGTAGGCCATTTCCCTGCTGTTCTCAGGTGCAGACTCACAGGCTAATACTGCAGCGCCCCATGATTCCCAGGAAGAACCAGTCAGTGTGCCAGGCTCCTCAAGTGTCACTCCCCCTGGGGTTAATGGGCCTTGGTCAACTTCCCCATAGGCAGGCCTCTCTCCTTGCATAGTTCCATGGTGCCTGCCTTCAGGAGTCGGGTGTAGGCCATTTCCCTGCTGTTCTCAGGTGCAGACTCACAGGCTAATACTGCAGCGCCCCATGATTCCCAGGAAGAACCAGTCAGTGTGCCAGGCTCCTCAAGTGTCACTCCCCCTGGGGTTAAACCGGGGCTGCGCTGGAGCTGCCTGCTCCTCTGCTTCCTGGAACCGCTTCTCACTGCCTCCAGCATGCCTGGCTCTTGCCAGCCCCCTTCCTTCTACTACACCCAGTCACTTACTGCCGGATGCTCCATCCACAGGGTGCAGTCAAACCATCCTCTACTACCACTGTCACGGAGTGGCAAGAGTCCCCGACCCTGCACCTTTCCACAGCCAGACGTGACTCAGCCAGCAGGTAGAAAAGAAGGTTTATTGGTTCACAGAGATACAGTGTAGCTTAGGATCGATGTTAGCACAGGAGCCAGGGCTGACAGCCTTATTCCTCTTGCGAGGAAGGGACTCCCGGGCCTCTCACTCCCTCTTCCTGCTCTCCATCTCCTCACTCATCCAGGCCCTTTGCCCCCAGCCTGGAGTCAGCCCCGCTTCTCCTTGTCTTTCTTCCCGGCTAAGGGTTGTTATCTCCTGAGTCTGGCCCTCAGGTGTCTGGGCCCAATACACATTTGGAGTGAGTCATCCTCAGCCTCTCCCCCCTCATGCAAAGAGTGCTGCAGGGTAGGGGGGAACTGAGGTACACGTACACACACAGCACAATACAGCAAAGAGTGAATGTAATAGTACCCCACTACGTCACAACTCCTCCAATGACACCTCAATCTGGGACAATTCCTCAGATTTGTCACCTAAAAAGAATGGCTCAGGTTTGGGAATCTTCTCAATATCCTCAGCCAAGAAGTTTCTCTGTAATGACCTTATCATCTTTGAGTGGTCCTTTGGCATCTCGATTACCAAGGGCCCCATTGGTTGTTTAGCAGGCTTCCTGCTTATGATGTACTTAACAACAAATGTTGCTATTTGTCATGGTTCTTAGGTCATGCTCACACTTGGCTCATCCGTCCCGGGAAGGACCCCCCTCTCCAATGAGACAGCCCCTTGGGGAGCCCACTCCAGTCCAGTGACAGAGAGACAGCCTTTTCTCAGGGAGTCCTCTCCAGTGCAGTGATCTTCTCTTGGGGCGTCCACTCTCACCTGGGAGTCTGCCCCTCTCTCTGGGCCTTCAGGACACCTGCCTCCCCTGTGAGTCCCCTCGGGGGGTCCGTTCCCTCTGGACCCCTGGGACCTCCTCTCCTAAAGGGAATAGTGCCTCCCTGTTCTCTAGACCACAGCGACTCTCAGCCAGCACAAACAGAAGGATTTATTGAGCTCTGAACACAAGAAAGGATCTCTGGCCTGTAGGCCTCGGCCCTCAGCCTCGCATGTCAGTCTCCCCTGCAGCCAGCTGAGTCCTGCCTGCTCTGCTCTCTGTCCCCAACAGCCCAGCAGTCTCCCAGCAGAGCCTCCAATATCCCCAGCAACAGCCCCTCTCCGGCCCTTCTTTTACTTGGTTCTTAAGCCACAGTAGCAATTTTTTGGTTCTCTTACTCTTTTTTATTTTGGGGTATGCATTTAAGTTGGACCTCTATTATGGTGTCTTTGAAAAGTTTCCATGCAGCTTGCAGGGATTTTACTTTTGTCTCTATACCTTTTAATTTCTGTTTATGTACTGCAAACAGCCTTTCTCCATCCTCTTTAGTACCCACCTTCCAGTAGTTGAAGGCTGCTATCAAATCCTCCCTCACTCTGGAGTATTGTGTCCAGTTCTGGGCCCCCCACTACAAAAAGGATGTGGACGCATTGGAGAGGGTCCAGCGGAGGGCAACCAAAATGATTAGGGGGCTGGAGCATATGACTTATGAGGAGAGGCTGAGGGACTTGGGTCTGTTTAGTCTGCAGAAGCGAAGAGTGAGGGGGGATTTGATAGCAGCCTTCAACTTCCTGAAGGGAGGTTCCAAAGAGGATGGAGAGAGGCTGTTCTCAGTAATGACAGGTGGCAGAACAAGGAGCAATGGTCTCAAGTTGTGGTGGGAGAGGTCCAGGTTGGATATTAGGAAAAACTATTTCCCTAGGAGGGTGGTGAAGCACTGGAATGGGTTACCTAGGGAAGTAGTGGAGTCTCCATCCCTAGAGGTGTTTAAGTCTCGGCTTGACAAAGCCCTGGCCAGGTTGATTTAGTTGGGATTGGTCCTGCCTAGAGCAGGGGGCTGGACTTGATGACCTTCTGAGGTCTCTTCCAGTTCTATGATTCTTCACTCCTGCAGACTAAATAAACCCAAATCCCTCAGCTTGACCTCATAAGTCATGTGCAGACAGGCCTTCAGACTGTGACCCTACTGTCTCCTAATCCAACCCTGTCCTTTGTCTACTCCCTCTGTGGTGCAAAGACATCTGGCTCCCACCCTGGTTAAGTTCTCTCTGCCTTGCACACCAGGAACTAGGGCCCAGGAGAGGCCCCCTGCTATGGACTCTGGCTTGTTACACTTATTGCTTCCTTCCCAGACTACCAGTTGAGCTGCAGCAGCGGGAACAGCTCTGTGTCCCTGTCCCGCTGCCTGCTCTTCGCCGATGGCTTCCCCACAGAGGCCTTGCACCTGGCCGACCCCAGCTGCACTGGCACCCTCCTCGGTGAGAGACTCGTCTTCTACTTTGACAGCACCCAGCACAGCTGCGGGACCTTTGTGATATTGCTTCCTTCCCAGACTACCAGTTGAGCTGCAGCAGCGGGAACAGCTCTGTGTCCCTGTCCCGCTGCCTGCTCTTCGCCGATGGCTTCCCCACAGAGGCCTTGCACCTGGCCGACCCCAGCTGCACTGGCACCCTCCTCGGTGAGAGACTCGTCTTCTACTTTGACAGCACCCAGCACAGCTGCGGGACCTTTGTGACGGTGAGCAGGGGGCCACACCTGGGGATTGGCAGCAGCCAATGAGCCCCACCTCCCCACCGCACCCCACCCCCAT